GTGTCCGAAAACTTCATGTGCTTCTTGAAGAGTTGGGTTTTTCGCAAGGATAGAAGTGTTAGCTTCTGGGGCATTTTGAAGACTTAAAGGGGTGCCGTTGATTATCATGAGTCCATTGTCGATATATGCGGAAAAGGCGTCTAACGAATTTTTGAGAGTGATGCGTGTCTCATTCGCTTTCACGGTCCAGCCGGATCGCAAGAGACAGGTCATCGAAATCAAATTACGACGGAGATTCGGAACGAAGAGGACTTGATCAAGGTCCAAAATGTATCGCTCTCCGAAGGATTCTATTTCAAGCTTTACGGTGCCAGTCGCGCATGCTCGAAGAATCTGTGAGCCGCCTACTCGTACTTCAAGCGGAGTCTGAAGCATCTCATAGTCTGAGTATGATTCAAGAGACCCGCAGAAATGATTCGAGGCTCCCGAGTCGAGGATCCAATGGCTGGATGCGTCTGACGTCGAGATACTAAATGCATTCGTTTCCTGAGTGGTTAATTGCTGAAGTTCTGTATGATTCGCTCGGTATTGGTTGCCTTTAAAGTTATTCCTATTCTGATTTTGAGGTCGGAAGCTGCTTCCGTTCTGGTTGTTCGGTCTCTGATTATTGTTATTGAAAGGTCGGTTCGGTTGTCTATTGAATGAGTTGGAGAATTGATTGTTATTGAATTGAGGCCTAGATGGTCCTGGATTTTGATTCGAGAAATTATTTTGACGGGAGGGTATATCGTAGAAGATAGAAGAGTTATTGTTATTTTGATTCGGATTTCGATTGTTGTTATAATTCCGTTTTGATGGATTGAAGTTCTGGTTATTTCGATTTGAACAATCCGTTGTTCCCGTAGTAAAGAGTTATTTGGATTATTGAAGTTTCGATTTTGAGGTCTCGGGTAATTAGATTGGGAAGTTAGAAGGCTTTGAATTGTTAGAGCTCTGAGGCTGATTTCTAGCGATAGATTTCAGACGTGTTTCTCTTTTTTCAATAGCCGCATAGAGATTTAGAACTGTTTGCCGCTCTTCGGCCTGAATTCCCCAGGACTGGATGAAACCAGACCAGGTAGAGGGCAATGCTTCCAGGAGACGTGAGGTGATGACGGTGTCGTCAAGAATACCACCGGATTCAGTCACATCCTGGAGGAGCTGTCTGAATTTTGTGAGGTTTTGGACTGGAGACTTATTTGGATTGAAGCGGAAATTGAAGACTGCTCGCATCGTAGCCTGGATTTTCGTTCCAGTGACTTGGTCAAACTCCTTTGTTATCAATTGATACATCATAGGAGCTGTGAACGCGCTGACGTTGCCCTTAAACTTTAGGCGAACGAGGCTAATGTCCAGAGAATTAAGGATTATGGTACGCGCAAGGCTGTTTGCCTTAGCGAATTTCGGGTCATCGGGCATAATAGACTGATTGACTACCTCCCAGCAATCGGGTTCAGCGGAAAGCAAGACATTGATGACTGTTTTCCAATCAGGGTAGTTGTTACCGGAAATATGAAGACGGAAAGCCGCGTAGTTCGGCAATTTCGTCGCCAAAGAATGAAGAACATTTTCGTTGCTGTTGGCCATGACTTGTTGTGTTGTGGAAGAAGTAGTATCGAGTGACTCTGAGGCGTTGACTAATTCGAAACTGTTGTTCGGAGATTGTTGCATTGATGTGTGAAGATGCGTTGTTGTGTGATGTGTTTCGGATTGACAGTCGCTATTTACTCTCTAACTACTGGTAACTCACCTAACGTAGTCGCAGTTGAATATCACAAACCGAAGGAAGTCACAATCAGGTTCGTAAGAGCGGGAAAAAGCGCTGATAACGTGTCAGAATTTGTGATTCCAAGCTTTTTGTGCCCTAGTCAGGAGCTGGCACTGATCGAGAGTAGAGGTTCAGACCGCACGAGAAGTAGTGATGAAATACACAGGGATTGATGGTAGGATACAGGATAGCGGACAGTAGTTTATTCTTAGTCTACAAGTTCTTATATACGTATTTCTGGGGTAAGGGTTTTAGGAGAGTACCTATGCTTGAGGTTGACCGTATCTATCGAGTTCTGAGATGTGGGGTGCTAATGATTCTAGGAAGCGGATTCGGAGTGCGTATACGAAGCGGGAGATGTGGACGAGGGATTAGATGTACTCGGGGTTCTTAGAAGACGAGGATAGATGCTTCTTTGATTAATGAGGGTGAAGTGTCGATTGATGTGGGGTCGAACTGAGACGGGGACTGAGATTCACCATCTTCACTGTCGTTCATTTCAACAGTTTCTACAAATTCCAATGCTTGAGGCAGGATTGTACAATTTGGCTCCAGGATCCTTTCTCAACAACCGGCACGATTTGGTGGAAAATGGGTATCATGCCAGAGTCGAAAACCCGGGGTACAACCCCAGTGACTCACGTATTTTACTACGGTCACGGGTATATGGCCCCGTGGAGTTGGTATGAGTCATGGTCCAAGTACGGAACGAGGAGTAGTAGTTTTCAGTTTCCACCTAAACCTCGACAGCATATTGATCAATGGATCGATGAATTTGAGAGGGAACCGAACTTGTCGGATTTGATTTCTCTCCGAGCACGCTCCATGATAGATCGGATGACGCTCATTTCCAGAGATACTCTCTGATGATTCATCGTCAAAACTTATCGTGATAGTAGGATATGATGATCTTCTGATTCTCGGGCCTGCATTCCGTATGGAAATCACATAAATTGTTCGAACTGACATCCTAGTTGGGTGAGGCACAACCGATATCGTCGGAGGACTGAGCGCGTCACTGTACGAACTTTTCCTGGATCGATGTTCCGGATTACCTCCGTGACTTTCGCCTTGAGGTCTTCTCCTGTCTCGTAAGGGAGGTTGCTCCGAGGTAGGACACTTCATCTTTGACCTTTCCCCAGAGGTAAAAATCCAGAGGCGTCAGGTCGCGGCTCTTCGCGGACCATTTGATGTCCCCGTTTGTCGCCAGTACCTTTCCGGGGAAGATGTTCCTGAGCATATTCATGGTGTGTCTCGCGTTATGCGCAGGTGCGCCGTCTTGCATGAAGATCATCTTTCTGCGCAGCTGGAGCGGGAAGTCGTCCAACAAGTCGACCAGCTCATTTTGCACAAATCTTTGATAATCGGCCCCGCTGAGAGTCCCGTCGTAAAGGAATGGCCCCGCTATTCGGGAACCGAGTAGACCACACCACACGTCAAAGCTAAATCGGACCTGGTTGCTCGTCTCCTTGAAATTCCCGGTCTTCTCCGTGGACGAGTAGTGAGTATTCTTCCGATTTGAACAGCCTCGATTGCTGAAGTTGCACTCGAAGAAGTTGCACCTCCCCCGGTGTATAGTTCACCTTACAGAGAGGAATAGCTGAAGGCTATGTCCGATGACATCGATGAAGCATCACAATATATGGCAACTCACGGAACTTCCTAAGGGAAAACGCACCATAGGCAATAGATGGATCTCCGAAACGAAGGAGGAAAAGAATGGGGTTTTTATCCGCCGGAATGCTCGTTTTGTGATTAAGGGTTACAATCAGGTCACTGGGAGGGACTTCCAGGAACTGTGCGCCCCAGTAGCTCGTTTCGAAACCATCAGAACGCTACTAGCAGTCTCAGCACAGGAGGCACTGACTCTATATCAATTCGACGTTTTGGGACGATTTCGGGGTGGAGCTCTTCTTCACCAGATGTAGAACGTGTCAGAGTCGCTTCGGATGGCCTGAACGTATTGGCGACCTGATGAACAAGGTCTTTGGGTTCAGAGGCGATCACACTGGCATCCCGTCGACGTTTTCTGTGCAGCGCGACTCTCTCCGCCGAAGTTTTTGGTTTCTTGGCCGGTCGGCTACCTATGCTCTTCATACCACGTTTGCGACGTTTCAGAGTTGATACCTTCGGCCGCATGTTAAACCTTGAGGGAATGCACCACGAGAAAGGAATAGCAGAAATATGCTTTATATGACTCCTTCGTTGTCACGCAGGGGGGAGCATATGTATATCTCCTGGGATGTGTCCGAGATCGGCCCGATGTTTAGCCTAGAATTTGCAGATGGGATCGGCAGAAGCCACCACAATACATCAATGAAGTTTCCCGTCGTGGAAATCCTTTCCGAAGGAAAGTCTGGCGATCTTTGAGTCTTTGAGGAAGTTCAATGGCGGGGCGTTTCCATGGCATACACATTGAGATGGTTGATGATGATCAAAAATCTGGTGATCGCCGCATAAATTAATAGCCGTCAACGAGTACTGCGTTGTTGAAAACATGTAGGTTTCCTTCGAAGTGTCGTGGGATTGAACTCGAAGGAAGCGCTCATATTTCCGCTTGAACTCACTCTTGAAAGATCGCAACTCTTTCTTGACGATTGCCACGCTGTCTCCCGGGCAGTTCTCTAAGTCGACCAAGCGCTTCACAAGAAAGTAAAACTTTTTCTCGATCAGGTGATCCTCGAGTTGACGAAGGATTTCCGATAATTCGCGCCTGGTAAAAATTATCGACAACATTCTCTGAGATTTGTCAAGGAACGACCGATCGATCACAGCCTTGGAACTCAATAGAATGAAAGTGTCTCCACTAGCGGCTCTCAGGTCTGAGAACATCGCGCGGGGTAGAATCTGTCTGACCAAAACTGGTCAGGCGTTGTGGATGGTTGGAGAGAATTCGAAGGGGACGGGACGCTCCCACAGCGGCACGATTTCACCAGTAGGGCGACTTGAGTTCAGGCACTGACACTCGAATGCAGGATCGAAGAATCACTCGGGCAGAGGTTTCACGAGACTGCAGTTTATTCTATGAGATTGGGGCGTTCTTATTCTAGATTCTCGAAGAGAGAAAGGGAAGCCTAAGTTATACCTAGAGCTTCTCGCTGGTTGAAGAGAGAGCACCCCCGTACAGTCCAACAACCCGCGTCTTCCATTTATGCCGGTGCCTGTGCCGATTCCGCAGTTGCGTAGACACCCAGCCGCTTCGGCACCCATCGCCGTACACTTATGGCGCCTCGATGTCTAATCTTGGTCTTGATGCCGACTCAGATACAATCACGTTGTTCTTGCGGTTGATCAGAGTATCCTCCGTTCGAGGATCTCCCAACCGGCTCAGAGATCTTAGGTCTCTCAGCAACTACGGCTTTTCTTGGATCTTACGAGAGTCCTCCGAGAGAAATCTTGCCGATCAACATGATCGCTCGGAGTTATCGCTATCTAACATATTCCATGCTCAACAGAATCGATGTCGCATGTCGCTCGTGTCCATTTTCACTCTGATGAGTATTGTCCATTCCACCTTCCGCTCTAGATACTGAAGACCTCAGTCTGTAACGGTCACTGGCCGGTCACCACTTGACTCGTTCACAGTGTTTTCAGTTTGACCCATATTCGGATGCTCTTCTGTGTTCAACCCTTCCGTTTGACTAGCCATATATAAGGACAATAAACTTCTGCCAAACAAGGGGGAGCCCAAGATTGACTCTAGTATACAGTGTGATCATTCTAGCCGAGGTATCAACGAGATACGATTATCTCTTCACCGTTATCAGCACGAATTGCTCAGAAAAGATAAGTGATACCCCACCGTGGTGAGGGTAAACCTTCCTCTCCACTTAGTGTCAATGCTCCCTAGAGCAAAGTAATTGTGCTTAGCAGAGTCATTGAATTAATTGATAAAACTAGAAAACACGACACGGTTACCCAGAATTTCAACACAGTCCAGTCTTGGGCCACATGAAAACGGGATTCGTTTGCTACGATGCGACCATTGGGCAAGCCGACCTCCATATTGACAGTAATGGGGTTTGGAACGAAGGACTCATGGGTCGGTATGGAAGGGCGAGGCTTTGCTGGTTTTTGGGATGAAATATCATTCTTTATACAGATAACTAGCGCTCCCGGTCTCCGCTTCGCGGCGACTCGGTATCGCTAGACTCACTACACATGCGCCAGCTCCGAGTGCGCTGGCTCCGAGCGCGCTGGCTCCGAGTGCGCTGGCTCCGGGTGCGCTTGCTTTGATCGCGCGTGCTCTGGGTGCGCGTCCCGTTTCCCCGCTTTCCCGTTTCCCTGCTTTCCCGTTTCCCCGCTCCCCCGTTTCCCCCTTTCCCGTTTCCCCGCTTTCCCGTTTCCCCACTTTCCCCGTTTCCCCACTTTCCCCGTTTCCCCCACTTTCCCGTTTCCCCACTTTCCCGTTTCCCCACTTTCCCGTTTCCCCACTTTCCCGTTTCCCCACTTTCCCGTTTCCCCACTTTCTCGTTTCCCCGAGCAACGGGCACCGGCCGCTCCTTTAACATGGGAGGTATGGGAAGATCGAAGCATTACGGGGCGGTCGCCCCCACCCTGGATCCGCCGTTGGCGCCCGCGTCAAAGAAGCGTAACAAATACTTGGAGGCAGACGATCGGATCCTGACCGTTGTCCGCGACGCTTCGAACCGGAGCTTTGAAGAATATCTCAGGGGCGGAGCCCGAATGTAGTCCTGAAGGAGTTTGTGAACTCCGCGATCCGTCCATCGGCGAGTCAGCATGACAATCCGCCCGAATGGCATTTCGCCCGAATGGCATGTCGCCCAAATGGCATTTCGCCCGATTGGCATTACGCCCA